TTTTTTTTTTTTTTTTTTTTTTTTTTTTTTTTTTTTTTTTACAGAATGGGCTGTGGAGCCCTTGGTTACAGAGAGCAAGCCCAGCAAATGGAGCTAAAAACAGGTGGCATGTCTGTCAGCCCACACATCATTCCAGATGATTCACATCTGGATGCGTATGAACAGGTAAATCATAACAAAATATATGCTATTGTATTACACTGACCTCACTGCAGTTAAGGGTGGAGCAAAGTTTCTCCATAAAGCAGGCGCTTAATGTTGAACACTTCAGTGATTTCAAAACACATTGGGCTGAAAATTGGTGTAGAAGTGAGCTTTTGTTGACTTATGGAAAACATAAATTTCACCATCACAGTAACTTACCTTTTTCCCCAAGGTAACGTTTTATCTTCAGATTGTTTTTATAACCTTTCTTACCACAGTATGCAAGTAGTGTAAAAAAAGCTAAGGAACAAAAGATGTTTTCCTGTTTCAATTCTTCCGTGACAAAGGGGCATGGCATAATAAGTGTAGGACTTTTTATATATATATAAAAAAAAAAAAAAACTTGGAAGGATTAGAAGGGCAAAGTAAGAAAAAAGTTGCTTGAAAATTTATTAGAGTTTGATATAAGGCTATTTACTTTATATTTTGACATGTGATGTTGACAATTTGTGTTATAATGGTTAAAGTTTTAACCATTTGATTCTCAACATTTACTGTCATTAAAAAAATTGTCTGACGTCCCCAATAGTCTGATCTCCCCCATATCTCCCATTTTGACAATTTAAATTGATATAATTTTGAAAGTGCTTTAAAGATAGACATTGATATTGACAGATATTATAAAATAATAAAAAAATAGAATGCTGCCGAACCTACATATGTAGTGCACTAGGAATGTATACTTAACAAATATTCAACATTGAGTATTGATAGTCAAGCTCATAAGGGGTCAGACTTGTTAGGACTTCCCCACTTAACCCAATTAAGACTCTTAATTTTTCTTAATGTTGACCTGTTGTGGTCCTCTTCTCCTGCTGTAACTGCTGTGCAGTAGTTACTGCCCACAGTGTATGGAGAGAAGGCAACCAGTATATCTGAAGGGTTCTTTAGGGGATTAGATTAGGGACTCATTTGTAGGAGCTCTCCATCCCCTGAACAGCTTTTTTTGATCCAGAGTCCCACTGCCTTCCTTCTACACCACATTTAACTACCATCTGGATGTGATGGGCTGACATAGAGGCACAGAAGCTGACTCTTACTGGCACATGGGGCAGGATTTACCCTATAGTAGGGAAGGTCCCCTTCATGTAGAGCTGTGTAACTACACCTCTTGTCTGTCCTGCAGTTTTAGCAGTGGGACTCTCTTGAATAAAGTGTGAATCTGGTTGTTGTTCTGTGATGCAGGCCATTAGGCTGACACTGTAGAACCACTTAGATAAAATGCTACCACATGTTTCTCCAGCCTTTATTTCAGTTGTCTTCTGTTGGTTTATCCTGTGTGTGAAGTATCTTCATTTTTCCTTTAGGGTGTGCTCTTTTCTTCTCTGTGCCTGGATAGAAATCTGCCAGACATGATGCACTTATGGAGTGAAATCTTTAACAAGTAGTGTATTGGCTTTTTGTGTGTTTTGGGCCCTCTTCTACTTTCCCCTCTCCCTCAAAAAATTTTTAAAAAAAGTTCCTACTTTATTTTTCTGGGGCAATTCTGATTTTGCATAACTTAATTTCAGCATGCTCTAAATCAAAATAGTCTGCTCTCTATACAAACCAGATTATGCATTAATCAGCTGAATGGGTAAAGGCTAGTTTTAGAACTTATCACAATGAACCATTTAATACTTTAAAGTCGACTAGAACATTTCTGCATGAGATCTGTAGAATTCTTGTGTTTTTCTCCGTTGTTCCTTTGTCTGGGTTTTTCTTTTTGTCTTTTAATGAATTTGTACTATTGTAGCAAGTGACTTTTGTTTTCTCCTTTTCCGATACAGCCCACACTTTGAAGAAGAGGAGCATTTTAGAGTACTGGTTAAGATGACTGCGCAAGAGCTGTCAAATGGAATTCCTGATTCTGGGCATTTATATGCATCTGTTCGAGCTAGCAAAACCCTTACACCTGCCGGAGAGTTACAAGAAATGTTTAATGGCATGGATCAGGTAAAGGGGAGGTGGTTCATTTAACTGATGTCAAACTCTTATACAATGCTGTGCTTATTTATGCTAATGTATACACTACCTACACATTTGCTGATTATTTCTTCCCTCCTTTTCAGGTGAAACTGATTAAGCGAATTGCAGAAATGTCTGATATTAAACCAGTATTACGCAAACTACCACGCATTAAGAAATATTTATTAAACAGTGATAACATGAGGTGAGAACCTGCTAATGTTCCTTTTCTGTTAATAGTCAATGAAAAATCTTAATGTCCTTACACTCTTGTAATTCAGGTTGGAGAAGTTCCTGCTTCTAAGCACAGTTGCCAACTTTCATGCGGTTAATAAGCACCCCGACTTTCACAGTAAGCCAAAAATCAAGCTAAACTCATTTCAAAACAAGGCTAAAATAAACCAATCCCTAAGAACCCCAACACTCTATGTGACTAGATCCCCTGGCGTACAGTCTGGGACTGTGGTGGGCCCGCTGTGCACCCCTGACTCTAGCCCCTGCTTGCTGGGACCTGATCAAAAAAAAAAAGCAGCAAGAAGCTGCTATGAGCCAAACAAGCTACAAGCCAAAAACTAGCCAACAAGCAACTCACAAGCCAATTAAAGCAAAAACAAGCCCAAGTTCTGTGTTTTGGGGTTTTTTTAAGTGGGTTTGGCATGTCTGCTTCTAAGGAGAAATAGTGAGGTCTTGGAATCCACTTTGTATTTAAATATTGAGAAAGATGAATGAAATGCTAAAATCAAAATGCTTGCACTCAGGCACTGTAATTTCAAAAGTTACTACTGAAGTACTAAACTTGTTCTGAATTTGTTAATTTGCAGGATATTGTACCTTGATTTGGGGGCAGGAAAATGACCTAAGTATAGTTTGTTTTTTTTTGTTGTTTTTTGTTTTTTTTAATTAAATGCAAGAATCTGTGGTAAGATCTAGTTGTAAAGAAAGAATTGGTAATAGTGGTGTGGAGAGATTGCCTTTTAAAGCTTAAACATAGTTTATCTGTCTCTCCAGGGTAGGAATGCCAGGTTGTTAACAGAGTGCTAAGTCTGATGCTGTTGAACAAGTTTTGATTCACTGTCTTGGGAAAAGCAATGAGAATCCAATGGGAGTTTCTCATGGCAGTGCACTGGTGGTATATTGCAGTCAGAATTGTCAATGCTTTCCTTATTTACAGCTGTAATTTGTCTTTATCATCAGGGTCACTGGCACAGAGATTTTCTGAGATTTGGATGCTTAAAAAAACGTGTACAAGGACGGGAAATAGTTGAAATTTAAAAGGTTATAAAACTGCAAGAAACAGGTTACTATGTATAAGGGTTTTGTTTTTTTAAACAGATGTTCAGTGAATGCTACACCTCAACAGATGTCACAAGCATCTAAAGAAGTAGAAAACTTTTTAAAGGGCATCACTAGAAGCAAAAAAGAGAGAAAACCTGTCCGCCCCCATGTGATTGAGGTATGCAAAAAGATCTGATTTGTGAGTAAAATTTGTCATTAGCCACTATTTTTGAGTTAATATACCGAATAAGATTAATAATAGACAGACTAATGCTGTGCAGCATGCGAATGGAAGGCAGAAGGTTTGGTGAACTTATACGCATCCTGTCCATACAAAGAGTCTTGTGACTTCTCAAAGAGAAATCAGTTCCTTCGGTATGCAATGTGACCTTCAAACTGTTTGCCTAGCTAATGTGCACTTTTTACTGTTTAGTTATTCAACTCCGTGATGATGAAAATAGTTTATAATGCCATCTAGTGTAAATATTTTCTGGGTAGAATATCAATCTGCTGGGCCACAAACTATTTATCTATTTAAGGGGTGGATGGAGATTTTAGGGAAAATCTAAAACAGTAGCTTCTCACACAGCTAATGAAAAATGTGCTTCCTTCTGCCCCTGAACATCACAGCTTTCTTTTTTGGGCACCTCTCTAGGAGAATGTATAAACCTCTGTGTGGCTTCAGTGGTTGATTAGGTGGGGGTTGAACTTCTGATTTCAACTATTGGGACTTGTACTCCACACCCCGATTGCTGTTTCAGGTGTTGGGGAGGAGGGATTTTTTCCCCTCCCATCACGTGGGTCCTGTCACTTCTCTTTAGCTGAGCTCCATTTAAGATGTATTCCAGAGAGAGATCTTGTGCTATGCAGCTCCTCCAAACAGTCATTCAGCTGTAGAATAACTCCTTCCTGGGCTAGGACATCTAGCGAAGTGTTATACATGCTCAGTGGTGTTCACGCTCAGGTGGAGCAAATTCTGATCTATGATCATGGACCATATAAGACAACTGAAATAAGCTTTAAGGACTGCATCCAAGAGAGGAGTAACTTGTGTAAATCTCTTGGGACACTGCACGATAGAAGGGATTGAGAAGCCCACAGTCATTGTCTAAAGCCTGGCAATACAGCCCTTAAGAATTTCAGGTTATCATATGGCACAGCTTTTTGCCAGGTTACCCATGAGATGAAGTCCATTTTAGTGTTTCCTCATAAATGCAAGGAGAAACAAGTAACCAGATTACCTTGATGTTTGTAGGGGAAGGAGGGCAAAAGGTGATGCATGACCCTAGGGGAAAAAATGGTAGTTTTTGTAATATTCCTTATTCTGACTTTTGAAACTCTAATACAAAGTCCTGTATTTGTAGAAGTCTCCAGAGCTCTTGCCTGTTGGAAGGGAAAGGCTTAATTGTTCACAAATCACAAGGAAACTAATTACTGTAAGTACAGTTTATTTGACTTTAGTTAATCATATTACTGATCTAATTGGCCCTTTTTATGGTTATTGCAGTGAACTGTACTCTCCAGTTATTCATGCTTAACTGAAATATGTTGTGCCTTCTCATCCTGCACTGTCATTGGATGCTGTTCTCGGAACTTCCAAGGCCTATGGCCATGAAATCTGACCCTCGCCTCATCGTGACATGCTGCCTAAGCCTAGACTTCTTAATAGTTCCTCTTTTGGCTCTACTTGGCTCCGATGGCTTCCTTTTACACAGACATCCCACCCCACCCCCAATTACTAAGAGTAATTTATTTTATTTTTGTATCTGAAGTTAGGTGGGATGAATGGTTAGTTCTGAAGGCATTGCAGAGAGGAGAGGGTTATGCAAATCAGAACTCCTAGTCCAGTAAGGTACAGGGATTGCATAACTGAGAATGTGTAGTGTGATGATGCAGTATTTGTACAACATCCCTGTGCTGTAGTAGACCAAGACAATTTCAGTATGTCTGATGATAGTATTACAAGGGGGCATGTGCACAGTTTCATCATTTTTTAACAAAATAACCAGTGCTAGGTTGAATGCATGGGTGCTGGTGTTTGAGTGTGTCAGGCTCTTATTAAGAAGCATGCAATGGTGCTAATATTCTCAAATGAATGGACTGTTGTAGCTACTTAAAATCTCTAACTGCCATGTTAATCAACCCAGATGCAATTTTCTCTCAGGAGCCTACCTTCAAACCATGTCAGATGAAGACCCATTTTCTACTTCCCTTCCCAGTGAATTATGTTGGAGAATGCATTCGAACTGTTCCCTACACAGCTCCTGACTATGCAAGGTGGGAAATAGAAAGGATCAGCAGTGTAAAAATAAAACTGACCTAGTTTTAGACTGAAAACCATTAACCAGGATGTATGCAGAAATTCTTCTTTAGGTGCTGGTCTTTGTGTAGGTGTGCATGCGTGCTAAGCTCCAGAGTCCAGAAATTCTAACAAGCTGTGTCCGTTGGACCACACATGCACAGTAGTTCACCTTGTGCACCAGACCCAGGACATAAGAGGTAGTGTGGGTCAACACCTCTCCAGTTCCTTCTTTCCACCGCATGGCCTGAGTTGGAATCCCTGTGTCCACATATTTCTCCAGCTTTTATCCTTGTACTCTGTTTAAAAAAAAAAAAAAAAATTCTAAAGACGGTATAGTTTATATTAGCATAGTTAGTTATTAGCATAGGTAAGGTATTTTCCCCCCCCCCCTATACCGTGGACTCCCTGTGGTCTGGGACTGTGCTTTAAAGTCCTAGGGTTCAAGAACCATCTCCCCTGCCCTTGCTCCTTTTCCATGAAGGACAATCACCAACCCTGTCTCTATTGTTTGGGTGAGACACATATATTGCTGCAAAGTGCAGCATCTGTCACACTTTTCTGCTGCGAACTTGCAAAGCTTGTGAACTTTGATTAAGAAAGCACCTTATGGAGAAAGCTATGAGGCCTCCCTCTGATCCAGGCCAGGGATACCCTCTCCCCCCGACCCAGTACATTTGTCCCATCAGATGAGCGGCACCCCTCTGACAACCAGCTTAGGAGTGGAATCTACAGCTGCTTAGCCCAAAAACTCTTCTTCCTGGGTTTCCCATGAGACTAAGGAACACTCTCTGATGCTCGTAAGGCAAGATGGCCTTCCGCATCTGCCCAAGAAGGAAAGGAACCTTCCCCGAGCCCATCCAAGCTGGGTTAGCATTTGCATGCAAATCTGGTGGGTCCAGGACCACCAAAGACCCCCAGGTTGGAGGGTAACGTATGCAAAAAGGAGACATTGGTAGCTCCAGTTCCAAAACACAAGGACTGACACCCACTGGCTCAATCCAGAAGTGCTGGGCCTGATTCTTCCTCAGTACTGTCCCATCCTCCTAAGGACCACCTGGCTACAACTTCCCGGGACGAGTCGGAACCATCAGCCTCAAGCACTGAGTCTTATGGACGATTTTATACTACACTGGAGGATATATTCCTCCCTTACGCTCAGTCTTTTCTCTTCTCTGGCCTGGTGCTTGTGAGGGACATTGCCACAGTAGAGGACAAAGCTGTGTTTTGTTGTCACTGGAGCCATCCCTTCTCCAACCCTCCGGTATTGTTGGTCCCACCAGTGAAGTGAGAGCAATTGTCGGACTTGGATAGGATGCTCTTGCTGTTCCATCATCTCCTTGTAGAGAGCTGAGCCACGATAGACTGTCAAGGAGATTTGAGCGTCATCCTCCCAGATCTGACTTCCCTAGGGATCCCTGGTGCACAATGCCGTGGGCTGCACCCCACATGCAAGTCGATCCTGCCTCTTTGGCCTTATTGGGGGCTCTGGCATCACTGTGGAAGATGCCCTGGATCTGTCCACAAATCCTACAATAACTCTCCTATGTGGCACCACTGGAGTTACGAGAAGGAGGACATAGACCCGGATCTGCTGGTATTGACAGGAAACTAATTTTTGTCTTCAGATGAAGCCGTCACTCGAGTCTCACTATCTTCACCGAATGACTATAGGCAATACCAGGAGCTATTTCATACAATTGCCAGTGACCTCCAGACACCACTGGAGGAGGTCCAGGATTCCGCATCCGGTCAAAGCAAGGTGGTGCTCTGGATTAACAAGGCAATCATGGAGCCAGCCAGAGTAGTCTGGCACGCTCCAGACTCCTACACCCCCACATCTAAGAAGGCTGAGAGATGCTATTATGTCCCTGCCAGAGGGGCTAAATTTTTCTTCTCCCACCCAGCGCACAACTCCAATGCAGCCATGGAGAGAGCAAGGTCACAGCATCCCAAGATCACCCTGACTGACAAGGGCTCAAAAAGATCGGACCTTATGGGGAAAACGGTCTTTTCTTCTATGAGCTTACAATTCTGTATCGCTAACTATCAGGCCTCATTAGTGAAATAGGATTTTAAGGACAATCTTCCCTCTGATGGCAGAGCCCAGTTTCAGTCTCTCTTAGAGGAGAGCAAATTAGTGGCTAAGGCTTCCTTTCAAGCTGCGGTAGATGCAGCTGACACTGCATCCAGCGACTTATCCCCTGGCATAGTCATGAGGCATGAGTCTTAGCTTCACTACTCACAGCTTCCCAGGGGGGTCCAGAACACCAAACAGGACCTGCTTTTCGATGAGCTGAGTTTGTTCATTGTTCATTGAGAAAATGGACAAGTCCCTGCACTTGCTGAAAGACTCGAGGATGACTCTACACTCCCTGGGGATTTACACTGCAGCCCCATGGAGAATGTAACAAAGGGAGGGATACAGACCAAGGCCGCCCCCTCCACAGTCAACGCTCAGCCTCCCCGTAAATGACAGGATTCAGAGACCTTGATTTTCAGCCACCTCTACTACCACGACCCTTGCCCATTCTCAGCCACTTGCCAAGGGCTACTTTTGATGCACAGTTGAGATCCATCTACCACTATTGATGCCAGTCACTTCTACCCCCATGATCTTTGAGGGCCACCTCACACTTTTCATCCATAATTAGGATTCCATCATGACAGACAGTTGTGTCCTAGAAATTATACATCAAGGATACTCCATAGAGTTTCTCCCTTCCTCCCTCCATGCAACCCTCCTTCCCAGTCCCCCTTCAAGGATCACTCTTACAAGGTGATTCTTTGCCAGGCATCCCTCCTCCTATGAGGGACAATAAAGCAGTACCACCTCAGTGTCAAGGAAAGTGGGTTCTATTCCCCTTACTTCTAAGTCCCCAGAAAAGACAAAGGGTGGAGACCCATTCTGGACCTTCAACAGCTGAACAGTTTTATTCAAAAGTCAAAGTTCAGGACAGGAGAGAATGTGGTTCATGGCTCTTGACATGAAGAATCCTTATTTCCATGTAGATATTCAACTGTCCCACAAAAAGTTCCTTCATTTCTAGTGGCTCAAGAGCATTTCCAGTTCAGAGTCCTCCCCTTTGGACTGATGACAGTGCCCAAAGTATTCATAGAAGTCTTCTCTATGGTGGCAGCCCAATTGAGACAGGGTTACATATGGGTTTTTCCTTATCTCAGCGCCTGGGTCCTGGTAGGTCGATCTGGCCCAGAGATCTGTTTGGTAACTTTGTTCCTGCTGCAGCAGTTAGGAGCAGTAGGAGTCTGTGTAAACAAAGAAAAGTCCATTTTAACACACGCACAGACGATGAACTTTATCAGAGTGACACTGGACTCCACTACAGCAAGAGCTTTCCTCCCCATGGAAATATTTCAGCTAATGAGTCATTTGATAGCACAGATTACGCACAGACCAAGAATTAGGCCATGGCTACACTTGCAGCTGTAGAATGCTTTGAGTTAAACCAGCCTTCGTAAAGCGCAGTAGGGAAAGCGCTGCAGTCTGTCCACACTGAGAGCTGAAAGCGCACTGGCATGGCCACATTTGCAGCATTTGCAGCTGCATTGGGAGCAGTGCCTTATGGGCAGCTATCCCAGCATGCAAATGACTGCAACGTGCTTTTCAAATGAGGGGGGTGGGGTGGAGTGTGACAGGGAGCGTGGGGGGAGAGAGTGTTTTTTTTGGGGTGCTAAGTGTGTCAGCATGCTGTCTTGTCAGTTCAGATCCCCCTAGCTCCCCCACCCCTCTCTCACACAAAGCAAACAGTAGCTGCTTGTTTTTTTTCTCAGACCATATAAGCAGCCGCTGTCAGAAACGGCAACCCCCCCGCCCCCCCCTTAACTCACTCACTCTTAAGCAAACATTAGCTGTCAGCGCTTCCAAAGGTAGGGTTACCATATCTCATAAATAAAAAAAGAGGACCCTCCACGGGCCCTGGCCCCGCCCATTTCCCCACCCCCAACCCTGCCCCAACTCCACCCCTTCTCCACCCTAACTCCGCCCCCTCCTCCCTTCCACTCCCAGCCAGGGGGAAAGGGCTGCCCCAGTGCTACCGGCTTCAGGGTTTGCCGGGCAGCCCTTAGACCCTGCGCCCCCAGCTGGCGCTTCCCCAGCGCAGCTGGAGCCCGGGAGGGGAAGTGCCCAGCCGGGGGCGCAGGGTCTGGAGGCTGCCCGGCAAACCCTGAAGCCGGTAGCGCTCGGGCTTTGGGCAGCCCCTATG